CTAGTGCCCATGCTTTGGTAGCAATCAGGATTATTATGCACTTATTGGTGCTGATGATTATGGCGATTATGATTATTAGTATTATTATTATTTCAAGGATAATGAGTAAATGAACTGCAATATGATTATTTCGGCAAGAACGTTTTCCCTCTTCGATTTGCTCTCCCCTAGGGAGCTCAGTTTTCCTCTTTTGAGCACTGCTAGCCTATGCAAACGTCTTCTTCTGTGAATATACGCCGAAAATAATTAGATCCTTTGACAAACTCTACTGTTTTAAAAACTGCATACTTCTCGGGACAATAAGAGTTTTCAAGATATAGAAAACTTGCTCAGGATTAAATTCCTTTCCAGTTTCTTACAGCCACTAAACACCTTCAGCTTGCCATAATCGAACCCTAGCTTATCACTGGAAGATGGCTTTGTGCATGCCTGGAAATAGGTGAAAAAATAATATAATATATAATAGTATAATATATATAGTATAATTGTAAAATATAATTAAATTATAATAAGATCACAGAAAACCTCAGATCATACATTGAATGTTAAGTGATGAATGGCAGCACAATCTTCGACTATCTTCCATGAAACGCCTCAACGTATGGTACAGCTTACTACAAAAGGTAAACCTATCTAGGTGCTGTATAACTTATAAATCAGAAAACGGGCTGTTAGTTGCCATTTGATAGGATGTTCTACCAAAACTGTCTGGTTCTTTCTGTCTTTAAGTACAAATTTCACTAATTCATTACATTGGTGCTTCCACTGGACACAAAACTCTTTGCTTTGCGTTCCCTGTTCATCCCTTTCTGTTCCTGTTTTATTTATGGATCACAACTAGAGCTTGTAGCATGCAGTAAAATCACCTTCGTGGCATCAATATGAACGAATTCAAATTATCCTTCTCGGATAATCCATCCAGCGACCGTTCCACATGTTTCAAATTTTAAAATTGTAATTTTCAAAAGCGTCTGAAGGTCACTTAACAGGGGCGGGGGGCACTTTGACAAAGTTAATTCAGATCTGTAACCGAGCTGGTGTTTGACTGAACATTTATTTCAGATGTTCCTCCCACCTAAATTATCCAGAAAACAGATACAGTAGATTTTCTATCTAAGGAGATTTTAAAGGATATTTTGAAATGTGTTTTCTTTTTTGAGGGAAAGAAAGCTATACTTCGAAGTTTATATTCAAAATTTTCGTTTTAATATGATTATTGAAGTGGGGTTGTAGTAGCGATCATCGTCAGGATGTTGGGTTTTGAAAGACCTTCATTCCGGCAAACTGCAAAATTTACAATGTGTAAAATAATCAAATAAGTAGTATGAAACTTTTAAAGCCGATACACTTATAAATTCAAATATTTTTTATCGTGAACAAATCCAAAAAATGCTCCTTCTTACACTCACTTCGTAAAATCTTAAGTCTTCTTTAGTAGTCTTTTGCCTCAAGGAAGAGTGCTTGTCGGCTTTCCCTATCTCCTGAAATATCAACCGAAATTCCAAGATGTGTTTTCGATGCGAACTGCTTACTTAAGTAAGGTTGTAAGATTGACTATTATACGGTCTAAACTAAAAAATATTCCAGTTACTTCATGTTGCCGACTTTTGAACGACCATCATTCTGAAGGCTTGAAAAACATATTCTGTAAAAGTAGTATGTATTTTTTTCAATGATTTTTACTACCCTTATATATTCAAATATAGTTTGTAGAAAACATGAATGAAATTTTTTTCCTTATATTCGCTTGGTAGGAACGTACGCCTTCTTTAAATGTTGTACTTGAAGAAAGTTTGTATTTCCGTTTTTTGAAAAAAGTATCCACATTGCTGAATAAGGTCCAAACTTATCGGTCGCTACAGTTAAATTCAATTTCTCCAAACCACAGGCTGTAGATATTCTGCCTAAGAAAAAGTGTAAGCAAGAGGTCACATAGACCTCATAAAAATGTTTACTGGATGTGAAATAAGTTGTATAATTTATAAGCCGCACTAATAAATGGACAAATTGGTTGCTTTATGATTGCACATTTCACGGTCGCAAAAAATCTTATAATTAAAACCGTTATTCAAACTGAAAAACGCCCTTTCTCCGAGTCTAAACCTTGCATAATGTGTTATTTGCTACCAACCGAGGGCAAGAGCAAATACGATGTAGATAGTCTCTTCACATTTTGTTGAATTTTGTAAGAGCAGTGAAATATAATGATGGAAAATCACACTACGTAAGCAACCATTTTTTCCAAAATATTTTTCTCAGACGGTCAGGAGGTAAGTCATTCAAAAGCCGGCATACCGATGTGGCTAAAATATATTGAGGTAAGGCTGATCGATAAGCATTACTGCAATTAGTATATACGAATCGAAAATATTACAGAATTTCCGATGAGAGTTAGGAGAGAGAGAAAAATTACGCTTTATTTTGATGGTGGTTATCCCAAATTTTCAACAGAAATGGCTTTATTCATTGAAATCAACGAATAAGATGGTAAATTAGTCAAAATCGATAAGTTTACATGAAATCCACATCTATTATGGCGACAAGTCAAATTTCAACCTTGAATTTCCGTTTCTTCACACGTGAGGTAGCGTGCAAGGAGTAGGAGTACAGAGCGCTGATATGCGGATGTAAGGCAAGATATTCAGTATGACGAGTGCTGCATGAAAATACCGGTAATCACTCGCTTACCAACATTGATTTGGGTTGCAATACTGTTTATCATGCACTCCTTCCTTTAAGAATAAAAGTTAAAGAAGGCATAAGGTGCTATCAAATACGTACAAGATAGGATTTTTTCGTGCACGCTTTCTATAAAATATATTTAAATTTATAAAGGCAGTAAAAATCAATGATATAAATGCATACTATTTAAATAGCCATTTTTTTACAGAATCAACTTTTTCGCAGCGGTCAGAAAGAAGCCATCACAGAGTTGGCACCCTAGTGAGGCTGAAAATAATTGAAATTTGACTGCATGATAAACAGTTTTGCAACCCTTCTGGTTTGCGAGTGATTAGCGGTCTTTTTGAAATCGCAGAATGTTTCATGCAGCACTCGCCATACTGTATGTCGGAAAATTTAGAACATAGTACAGGAAGACTTCGCAGCCATTATTTGAGGAGGAAGTTGATGAGTACCCTCATCGAAAATGCGATCAGCAAATTGCTTGATCGTTTTAAGGTGTCGCAATATTATAATACCAACTGAAAAAGTATAAGAAGCGTCGGCTGCTGAAGAGAGCATTCGGAGGACACGTTTAAAAATCAAACAGGTTTTTTAAGCAAGAGCGGAAGGATAACCGGAGAACAGTGGAGAATTAGGAGGAGTAGGCAGGCATGTATAAATCGTAGGCTATGGATTGAAGTGTGTGTGATATGAACGTAACCGACGTATAAAATTAAGGAGTTTACGACTTATAATGCAGAGTAAATGAAAAGCTAGATTTCAGAGTAATGTCGAAGTACCGGAAAGAGGATATCTCATTCAACAAGACGTCTAAGTATTAAGAACTGGCAAAAGAGCCATTAAACTAGGGAATTTGCTCTAATTTTGAGATTTGTAAGACCTTGACATGGAAGCGTAACTGAAAAGAATTATATCTGCCCATCAAAGGTGCAAAACCATGGCGTCATTGAGATGTCTACGTGCTTATCCTGTTAGCTAAGCGTTGCAGTTCTTGGGGCCAATGTGCGAGCTACTCATAATGGCTCTTAACTTCAAGAAGTAGACAGCTTTAAATACTTCGGGGCGAGGCTACTACCGAATGGACAGAGTAAGAACGGCATTGTCTCCTGAATCTATGCTGCTCGCAGGATTTTCTCATTCCATCAAAAGCGCCTACGGATCCGACGCGACATCTCCATCGCCACGAAGATCCGTTTGTACCGCACAAGCCTCCTATATGGATGTGAATGCTGGGCTTTGCGCGTGGGAGATGAGCGAAAGCTGGAGGTGTTTGCCTACCGCTGCCTGAGGACCATCCTTGGAGTGAAGTATGCCGACCTCGTCTCAAATGAGACAGTCCGCACCCACTGCGACAGTATCGCGACGATATCGCAGGCCATCCAAGAAAGACGACTAAGGTGGTTTGGTCACTGTCTCCGTCGTCCGCCTCACGAACTTTGATACGCTGCCCTTGATCCGGCACCGCAGCCCACCAGGAAGCGTCGAAGAGGAGGGCAACTGGAGACTTGGCTCGGCACCGCCGGTCAAGACATGGAAGCAGTTCTTGGACCTTCTTTTCTCGGTCTCCATCGCTAGAGAAGAGACCGGGTGGAGCTCTTCAGATCCAGTGCTGCCAACCGTCATGCATTGAGGGGTACCGTCCGTGACATCATTGGGGCTGGCTAGATCAGGCATGAGCACAGCCATAACGAGTACAAGTAACTACAAGCAGGGTTTGGTGGAGCAGTCTAGGGCAGGGGAGGGAGACAAACAGATCGCGGATGAGCGCATGTCGCTAAGTGACTGCGGGCCACGCCAGATGCGGATTTCGTAGGAGGTGCTTTTTTGCACACAGTACCGGCTTCATCAACCTGACAGCCATCGCTTCTGCTGCTGCTGCTATCAGGCGCTGACCAGAGACTTTGGATAATCTGGTGGAACCTTGTATATCACCCGGAAAGTTTGTT